CCAGTCCTTCCCACACCATGCTGGTGGCTGATCCCAAATCATTGCCGCGCAGACACGTCACTCCCAGGTCCCAAGGGGCAGGTGGATTGAGAGGCTGTTGCTTGTTGAAGCCAGACTGAGCAGTGCAGCCTCAATGGTGATTACAGGCCCTCGGTGCTTTGGGCCCAGCTTTTCCAACACCTTTGGAATTGGGGGTGTGGGATTGGCGGTCCCCAGGAGGAAAGCCCAGCTCAGGATCTGCTCTTCCCTGCTGTGTGAGAAGCTCTTTGTAACCATTGGGCTCTGTGGGTGAGTGGGAGTTGAACACCCTGTCTTGGGGTGGTTTGTTTGCAATCTGTACAGTGACACTTCTGCTCCAAGTAGAGCCCTGTGCTATGTGTGGGACTGACGGCGTCTCTTGTGCTTTCTCTCCAGACCCTGGACCTGCACTCCTGTCCCAAACCCATTGTTTTTGTGTTGCACACTTTCTTGTCAGCCAAAGTCACCCGTATGGGACTGCTTGTGTAAGAGGTGAAGGGTCCCAACAGCTCCGAACAACACATCTACTGTCCCAGCAGCAAAAAAGCACAAAAGACCCTAGTTTGTGGTGTCCTCCTGCAGTACCAGTGCCTTGACAAAGACTGTCTCATGCCAGAACCATGACAGTGTGGAAGGAAGCTCCTGCCCTCCTCAGAGCCATAGCCAGAAACTCCATCCTCTCCACAATCCCCTGGAATAACTGCTCCACCTGCCTAGAAAATGCTGAGGCCAGGCTGCTGCTGGTAGCTGAAGTGGTTCTCGCATTCTCCCTTTCCAGCCACTTCCTGGCTGCTGGCAATTTCAGACATTCTTCTTCCTGACACCCCTGGGATTCGATTGTCGCCCTGAAGACTCGACGTAAAGCCGAGCATCCGGCACTCATCTGTTGCAAGAAGAGCCATTGGCATGGGGCTGTGAGGGGGGAGCTGGTTAGGGTAGGAACTGTAATCAATCCGTATGACGTCTTTTTTTATTGCTTACCAACTGTGCCTTCGGCGTAAGGTGGGTGGGGCTTTACTGGAGCTGGGGATGAGGAGACTGGGAGTTCAGCACTGGTCGCTCTGGACGAGCATTCCATGAGCCCCCGCCCTCGGCTCGTTCCAAGCTGCCCGGCCTCCCCTAGGAGAAGTGAACTGTTGCAAAGATGGACTTGCGGCTGTGCGGCAGCTCTCATGGGGTCATGTAGGCGAGGCTGAGTTTGCTGAGGATTCCTCCTGGAGGGAGGGGGACTCTTCTGAGAGCTGGTGAATCCTGCCTCTTCCTTTTGCAGTCGATAAATATTAGGGGAGGGTACGCAGTACACCCTTCACTGTGGCTTCTGACCCTAGTCACCGAGCCAGAGGAGGGGTCTCTGAACGACTGACCCGGCTCCCTCTGTTGCCACAAAGCCACCTTCCCAGGGATCCTTGGTAAGGAAGAGGCCTGTCCTTCTCACTAGCCAGTGGGATGGATAGTCAGGGAGATTTCAGTCACTTTTCTGACTTGCTTTGGGCACCTGGAAACATCCTAAATACAGAGCACTTGGTGCTTTTTGCTGATGCTTCTTACTGAGGCCCCCGATGGTCAAATGCGACAGGACAGATGCCACATGGCTGGATCGGAGGCACCGAAAGGCCAGGTGGTTGCGTGGTCCGAGATGAGCTGTAATGTGAAAAGCAGCTGATGCCCTATAGTAATGCACACAGCCTCTGGGCCTGGCAACTTCCTTCTGAGACCCTAGCAGCACCCTCTCCTTTCCTAGTGCTGGGCTGCCTGTCTCCCTCAGCCTGTGCTAAGCCCCTGTGCCCAGGTGTGCGTGCTGCAGGGAGGTGGGTGACAGGGGCCTGGGAGCCAAGGTGGGGGAGATAGTATCTTTTATTGGACCTACTTCTGTGGGTGAGAGGGACCAGCTTTCAAGCCCCACAGAGCTGTGCGCATGCTGGCACAGCCTGTCCCATTCCTAAAGAAGGTTTTCTGAACATCTGCAGGGCCGAGGGGGGGCATCTCATCCACCAGAGGCAGGGAAATTGCAGTGCTTCCTTCACTCTGGTGGCAGAATTTGAACACAGGGCTTTTGGAAGCCCCCTCCAGCACATCACTGACCTCTTCCCAACAGGACTCAGGGCACCTGGCAATGCAGCCTGGCTCAAAACTCTGAGAAACAGATTTCACTGCGTAACCCAGACCTTCAGCAGGGCCTGCACCCTCCAGCTCTCTTCCTAGATTCCTGGCTCTCTCATGCTTGGGAAGAGCTGTACCTGGGACACCCAGAGATGGGGGGGCAGGGACTCCAGGAGCCCCACTGCGCGCACACATCAGGTGGCTTGGACAGTCCTTTGAGGCTCTGCTTGCTTCCTTGGAGCCTCTAGCGCCTACTGTTATGAGTGTTTGATTCCCAGTGTAGGTTGCTCAGGATTAACTTCTGGGATTCAGCTTCTCAAGTTACCAGTGTACTGAGCTTTCCGAGACTGGCTAGAGCCTTGTGGGACATGTACTCCATCTGCAGACCAGTAGGGTAGCCCATCTCCGTAGTGGCACAGATCGACAGCTTGATGTAACTAGACTTAGGGTGAGAATTCACAGCACAAAACGTTTGAAGGTGAACCTAAGAGCATGCCGCCTCGAGCCTGGCCTTCCCCAGAACAGGCTCACAGTGTGTGAAGAAGCGATCCTGGAGGGCACACTTCCTTTAAGTGAGATATGAAGCCCAGATTGTCCTGCCAGCGCAGCAGCCTGCTGAAACCCTAGGGAGGGAGTGTTCTTCACAGGCCCCTCACAACTACGTGGCCTATGCCCGATGCCTAGCAGCTCATTTCCAAACACTGGTTTAGCAACCAACAAAAGCCAATCAATTGAAACGTGTTTGTTTAAACAACAAATCATGCTAGGTTATAACATACTTAGAATAGTGTCTTAGCTGATTGGGGTTTATGAAGTGAATATAAAGTGAGTTTCCGCACAGTACGGATTTGGCTAGGTTTGTGTTCGCCCAACAGACTGTTATCTGGTCTGTGGACCAATCGGAAGAGTTGTCATTTCCACGCAAGGCTGTTAAGCTCTTCAGTCTATTTTAGCTGCTCTTAAAGTGTATATTTTAGCTCTAGTATGGTTGGGGTTTGTCCCAGCAGTCCAGCGAGTGCTGGAAATCACAGCGTCTGCATGGTGAAAAATCTACTGCAGGGAGAGTAGACTTGTTCTAAGCCTCAGTTCTTAGACAACCCATAAAGAAATACCCTTAATGCCACAGGGTGATTAAGCTGTTACCATGTTAGACTATTTTCTTATCTAAATGTCTGTTTTCTTTAATTTGCAGCTTCACCACATTGGTGGCTGTAAAGCACTGGAATATTTTTACGTTAGAGGCTAGGCCAGTTTGGTCTCTTACCAAAAGCCCCAAGTCAACTTAAATTAGAATTCTGGACAAGGTCCTTCCTCCCAGGAAAACGTGGCTTGCTAGGAACCAGGTTTACGAGTTTAAAGGTGGGGTCCATCAGCAGGGGAATATTCACCCCTGTTGTACTGGAAGTGTGAGTAGTGTCAGTATATCACATAAAATGGGACAGTCTCCCCGCCCCCCCCCCCATTATTCCTTCATTCTGCAAACTACCTAATAAGCTGCTATGCAAATTGTTGTGCCCTGGCTGGTTTCAAGGGGTTAGATATCCCTGAGGATTTCAGGGAAGAACTTGTAGACTTAAGCACTTTCTCTGCTTTTTTATTTTGCTCTGACACTTAAGGTTGAGTGGTTGCTATTTTAAGCTCTGGTGGTGGTCACTGATTGTCAGTACTGCCCAGGATCTGTGCAAAACTTCAGTGTAAATGCCTTGCTGTCAGTGGGGTGAACTCTTCCCAAATCACCTGTCACTAGCAAAGCTCTGGTTGAGGTGGCAACTGAAATGTCAAGAGTAGACGCCAAATCGAATTGCACGTGATGGACGTTTGGCTTAACAGGAGGTTATTTTAACTCATTTCGATTGGATTTGGATTTCTGTGGGAGGTAGGGGAGTACTTAGTACTGCCTTGTCATAACCGCCTACTACAAGCTGAGCTGGCACCCCTTGTGCACGGCCAGCTGGAATGAAGTACAGTATGGTCTGTCTTCCCCTTTGCATCAGACGTGGTATAGTTAATGTGCAGAAAGGCTCATGCTGCCAGCCTGAAACTGTCTCCCAACCGACCCAGGTTCCTTCCCAGGCTTCGCTGTGTTAGGAATTACATTCTGTCCTGTTTAAGCAATCACTTTTGAGCCTTTTGCCACAAAGCCTGAATTCGATCCTGACTTGCTTCACGAGTGAAGCCCCTGAGATCTCAGCCTAGTCCCCGGAGAACCTGTGTCCAAACCAGACCAATCTTCTCATTCGCGTGAGCGTCAGTGTTCACTGAATGGAGGCTCAGGTCTGTTGCGGATCAGAGGTACTTGGGGAAACTTGCCAGTTTGCACTCCGCCTAGTTCTCCCCAGGGCTGTCTTCCATTCATGCCAAATATCTGCCCTGTTACAGAATGCTGCATGCCCTTCTGGAACGCTGTGAGCCATCGCTTACTCTGGAAGCTCGGGTCCTCTTAGCTTTTAAGGTTTTTAATGTTGGTATTAAAAGCCTGTTCTGCAGACTGAATTTCTGATGCTCAAGCCCCCACTGTGTCCCAGCTCCTCCCCAGAAGTGTTGAGGTACCAGATTTATCTGCAGTACATACACTATGTGCCTCACCTGGCCTCGTTTGTTTCTGGTGGCAGCAGCCGCCCCCCTTCCCAGAGCCTGTGTAGAGACATGGGGAAATGTACAAACTCCTGGGAGCTTGTCCTGTCTTTTCCCTGTAAGTGGGGGAAAGGGCTCCAGAATGTCTGCGAGAGACTGCTCCTGCCCCCTCCCACATCTATGCAAACCTCTGGATTTTGTGAGAGGTGATACGTTGGAAAGCTAGAAAATGCAGCTGGAGCGCTCTGTTACAGCATTCCATGTGGAAGATACACCACTGAGAGGCATCCCAGGTTATCCTTGGAAACCAGAGGGAGGAGAGGAGAATATCTATGCTGAGCTTGTGTTTTCTATCCAGAATAAGAACAGGCAAGTGTCTTAAATATGGCCCTATCGGCCTGGATGACCATATGGGGGGGGGGGGGTGTAATTAAACTAGTGAATGGTGTTTACAAAACCTTACACAAGCTGCGTAGATTTTAAAAGCTATCTAGTCAATCAATTCCTCCTACCAACTCCTCTTCAAACAGCACTTGTGGGATCGACTCCCAGAGTTAATACTCTGCAAAATCTTTGCAGATTCTTGTGCTTTCCCCAATACAACATTTCTATGCCTGTGGCTAATTCCGACAACTGAAAGCAGACATGGCACGCATGGCTTAATTTGTAACGAAAGAGGTGCCAGGGCTCAAGCAATTTTTTTACTTTCCTAACTGACACGCCAAGCCCAAAGGTGCCGGGGCTCAGCCCTGGCGGAAATTAAGCACTGCTTGCATGTAGAAACCAGGCTACACTTTTCTTTAAAAGGAGGCCAGTAGCCTTTTCGCATTAGATAATAAGCAATAAAGAAAATGGATGTGAAACTAGTAGAAGCAAATGAGTCTTTGGCTGTGGATCCCACTCCCGGTGTGCATGTGCTTCGTGGGAGCCACATGGACAGAGCATCCTGAAGCACCATGGTTGCTGTAAGGCTAAGTAACCGTTCTCTACAGCCACCCCACCTCTGCCTTTTGCCTTTATGCTGCCAGGATTTTGCTACATGAGTTAATTCTGTTTCTGCTGCTGATCTTGCAGCATCCTGGCCTGCAACACAGTACATCAAAACCTTGATTGCACTTTCATGTTCTAGAATTTGGGGGAACTACAGGGCTAGTTCTGCCTTGTTTTAAAAATAAATTAATTTGCAGTGACATCTCTTCTCTGATGAAGAAAATTAAAAAAATAAAATCCCCTTGACACATCAATGTTTGTGGTGCTCCATTTTCCTTTTAGCATATCTACCTGTCTGGGATCAGCCAGTGTAGGGGATCTCACTACAGTGTATCAGTGTGAAGTTTACAATTTGGGTCAATAGAGCATTACAAGCCCCAGGTGCTAAAGACAAGAACCCTGTAGGTATAACTGGCCCCAGGTCATCTGAAGAATAAATTGCACCGAACCACTACAATTAAACTGTTTTTTAACCTGTGCAAACTCTATGCTGTTTGATATGATATAATCAAGGCACAGACTGTAACACTCCCATGAAAACAATAAAATAAGATGCAATCAATTCTATTTTTGTATTCTTTGTAGTTCACTATTTATACAATTCTTCCTTTTTTGAGGTTTTTAATCTCTAGCTTTTGGAACTTCCAGGTTACCAAATCCAAATAACCCAAGTGGTGACAAGCAGGGGAGTTTGTGTATTTCACAATCACATTAAAGCTTTATGTGTACTCTATAAATATAGATGCATAGACAACCTATTGTCCCCTGAGTTGCATGTTAACTGTATAGTATTGTACATTACAATGAAAATGTAACTGAAGGGCAAGTGTAACCTTTATACTGTAAATAACAATAAAGGCTTTTATGCTTTTAGATTTTGTTTTTTCTCTGTGGAAAATTTTTTGTCTGGGGTAGGAGATGCAATAACTGTTTTGCCATTCAAGATGGAAAACATTACTCCCTGCCCTCCTCAGCCACAAGCTTAGGGGAGCAAACAAAAAACAACCAAAACCCCCAGGAGTGCAGTGGTGCAGCACCCTGGAAGCTGGCAGCCAGGGAGACCACCTGATCCTAGAACAGGAGACTCTCTGCTTTTCCTGCCACACACGGTTCTGTGTTGGAGGGGAGGGGACTTGGCAGAACCCCAGGACAACAGTGGATCTGTGGTGTTCATGCCCCATTGAGATTCATGAGGTGGTTCACCCAGGGCCGGCTCCAGCATTTCTGCCGCCCCAAGCAAAAATTGCGGCTGCAATTGGGAGAGAGAGAGAGAAAAAAAAAAAGCCGCGATCGGCGGCGGCAGTTCAGCGGC